GACTCGAGGGACCTTTGGAAAATCGAGCCTAGAAAAAGAAATAAGAGCATATTTTTACTTTTACTTCTTCGAGTGCAGGCTCAAAGATACTTTGACAGCTAAAAATAGTGTCGTTTCGTCATGAAGACCCCAAGGAAGACCAGAATCCTTGATTTATACCCCTAAGCGAGGCGACGAACATCCGCGACCTTTTCATATGGGAGGAGTCTCCCCCGGGATTTTAGACCACTAAAGTAGCTTACGTGATACATCGTATGCGATCAGTAATAGGTCTGTTCTACCGTCCACCCAGAGGTACACCCATAGGACATGGGGGCAGATAAAACCACATGTATGCAAAGACTATCTGCAGAGAAACTGATCTGAACCTTAACAAAACTTTTCGCTGTTTAACTCGACGTAAACAACAGAGTTGTGCAAGATTAACCAGTATAGAGCTATATACTCACAATGCTTAAGTTTCGACACCCATTCGTCTATAGAAACTCGCACGTCTTCGAACTCAACGCCAGCGACAGAGAAAGTCATTCGAATGGCTTCGGCTTTCCCACGAAGTTGAAAGTAAGTTAACTTGTACTGAGCCATCGCGAGTGAATTCACGAGCGGAGAGAAAAATTAAAATAAACAGTGTGTTCTTCAGTGCTACGTGGTCACCTGATTATTTAGCTTTTGACCTGAAACCTCTCTGGACTTTTAGTGTGGCGCAAGGAACGCGGGCTCACAAAGCGGCTAGAAGGACCGGGCTTTAATAATTACCCGTCACTTAGTCGACTACGAGCAGTCTCTCTTTTGCACTTATATCAGCTGGTAGTAACGCTCACTTGCTCGGCTTTTGCTTTCTAGGACAATAGTCGCAGTAACCACTAAACGTGACAAAAGCATTTTAGGGATATACAGTTGCGCTACACTTGCGTGACAGTCATCTGATAACCCTCCCAGCACACACCTCGCAAGTGGTCACGTGCCCCTTTTGTGTGGAAGGGTGCGTGCGCGAGATTCTGTACATGTGGAATTCGATAAAAGTTGTTCGCGAATCATGGCTCAGAAGTCTTACAAGCTGTTATATTTTCCAGCTCGAGGACGTGGGGAATTCATTCGACTCGCTTTTAT